GGGCATTGTGTTAGGTACTGGGTATGCAAATACAATGAATGAAACAACTCCTACTGGCAAGGAGCTTCCTAAGGGGATACTCTTCAACTGAGGAATGGAGAAAAAGATGAGCAAATTATGAACAAAGATATAAGGGACTAGGACAGGAAAAGAGTAGGATTCAAAGATGTCTGGAAAGACTTGTATGAACTGATGCAGAAGTAAGTACAACCAGTAAAACTAACTGTATAGTAACTAACTACAATCTTATGAAAGAATACAAACTTGAAAGACTTAAGAACCCAGGGTCCCAAAGAACAATGACAAATCATGTTTTCTATCTCTTCACAGAGAGGTGAATGACTAAAGGTCATTCAGTATGAATACAGCATGAAACTTCAGACACAGCCATTGTGTGGGTTTGTTTTGCTTGGCTCTTACAAGGTGGGTAGGGACTGCTAAGAATTATGGAAGGGAGAATAGCTATAGTGATGCAAATGAAGAAGAAGAAGAAAAGAAAGAAAAGAGCATCTGTGAAACAATTAAAAAGGACAAAGAGAGGGCAGAAAGAAATTCAGAAAAGAGACAAACAAAAGCAGGAACACGGTTAAGGTGGCGAATTTGGATACAGTGCATGACTTGGAGTTAGAAAGACCTTCAGACACTTAATTAGCTGTATGATCCCGAGCAAGTCACTTAATTGCTCCTAGCCTCAATTTCCTCATCTGTGAAATGAGTAGACTGGACCAGTATGTTATTAGGACATGACGATCAAATGAAGTAATATATGTAAAAAGTACTTTGCAAACCTCAAAGTGCTATATAAATCCTAGCTATTATTATTAATTATTATAGTATATTATTAATTAAAATAACATTATTTTTGTATATTTTCTATTATTAATTGTTATTAAAAGTGAGACTATCAGAATTATTGTGTTAAATTTATTATATACTTAAAATAATCTGTATATGATAGAGATTTATAGTTTCATATATAATTCTTCTTTTCTGCTTTTCTTTGTATGTGGAAATGATTGGGTCTGTTGATGTCTGGCAAGTACATAATAAAAAAAAAAGGAAAATCATAAAAAAAAAAAAGAATCTGTGTGCTAAGAGAACTGCTTCTCTTGAGCTGAATATTGTTGCAATTTTGGAAACACAGAGAGATTTTTCCAACATGTACAACAAATAGTGAAATTGACATAAACTTCATGTGTAAGTGGGAAACAATATTATTATCTAAGTGTTCTTTGTTGTTTCTAACTAGTTTGATCAATGCCAAGGGCAATTGCATTGAGGTTAATTGCTCAAAGAAGAACAATGGAACCTTTGCTTTAGGAAGTTATAGTTTTCTCATTGGATTCTATATATGAAGCAGACTTAGATGGGAATGAGGGAGGAGGACTTCTTCAGGATTCTAATATTAAGGAGAAAAGGCTTCTACTTACCAATTTCATTATAGATATAGATATATATATATATGTATATGTATATATGTAGGTATGTAGGTATGCATATATACACATACACACACACACATATATTTATATAGTCCATATATGTAGGTGTGGGTGTGTGTATTCTCTATCAAGCAGTATCCATTTATGTCCTCACAGGAAGACTGGTTCAGAAGTTACAAAAATTCTAAGTAACAAGTATATTGTGAGTAGGGATTATAGGATGACAGAAGCCAAACATCATGGAAAGTATTGATTTATTGGTGCTGTGGCAACAGGGTACATAAAGCAGGTTAGTTTGTTTGGAATATAGCGATGGGGTTGGCGTGGGAGGGTGGTGGAACAAGGGGGGCAATGTGAAATCATTCTTGCCCTTTGCCTTAGTATTGTCTGACTTTTATTGTAAGCTACTGCGGAGGCTGGGATTTGTTCAGGGGTCTTTAGGGTCTAGCACAATACTATGAATAAGTAGGCACGTGCTTTTTGGTAATGATGAAAGCAACAACGATTGTCTTTCTTATGTGATAATATTAATATGAGAATGTCCCAATACTGGGTTGAGAAACATTTTTCTTTTAACATCATATTTTTCTCACTTGGAAAAAAGAACTCTACAAAACCAATAGGGTACTTTGAGTTACGAAGATCATGTTTAATAACTATTTTGTCAAGTTATTTCTATGTTTCCTCTTTACTTCTTTTTTTTTTTTAAGTTTTTAGACAATCGGGGTTAAGTGACTTGCCCAGGGTCACACAGCTAGTAAGTGCCAAGTGTTTGATCTGAGGCCAGATTTGAACTCAGGTCCTCCTGACTTCAGGGCCGGTGCTCTGTCCACTGCACCACCTTGCTGCCCCTATGTGTACTCTTTAGACCCTGCTCACATAATCTAAACACTAGATGGCTAGGATGTTTTTGATCCCTTTCACCTATTATCCCTATGATACTACATGAAAGGAATGTGTTTCTCTTGGACTTTCCTGTGCCTTGATGAAACGTGTTCCACTGAATCATGATCAGAGGAGTCGGGATTCAATATAAAAAATAATCAGAAGCCACTGTAGATTTTAGTATAGGGACATCATATCACCCACGGTGACAGGTACCTCCTTCCTCATCCCTTTAGACCCGTGTGACTGCCTTAGCTCTGCTGGGGTGCAGCAGAACTATGGCGGTGGCCCCTCTGACCTTTGGCACATCTCACTCTGTGTGAATTCTCCCCTCTATTCTTCCTAACCCCACTGCTTTCTTATTGGCTCCTTTCTTCACTTATTTAATGCACTTTTTTCACTTCACCTACCACCATCATTTCTGGTTGGAGGAGACAGAGTGGGCAGGTAACTCTAAAAATGTTATTTCTCTTAGCTGACAAGGAGTTTGTTAGCTTTTTTTTTTTTTTTGCTTCCCTCCTTCCACAAAAAGGGAATGTCAACATTAGCTAGTGTGGTATAGAGGAAAAATGCACCCTTTAGGAAAATTCACCAAGAGCCAGATGACCCATACTCAAGACCAAGCTCTGCCATTGACTACCTGTGTGACCTTGACCAAGTCACCCTCTCTGAGCCTCAATTTCTTCATTGGTAAAATGAGAGTAAGTGCTTGTATACCTTAGTTTCCTCAACTATAAAATGAAGGGAGGCACTAAATTATTAGGTTCCTTCTAGGTCTAAATCCTATGGTATTATTTCTTTGAATTATACATTCATTCATTCATCATTGGTTAAGTGCCTGTTATATATTAGGCACTATACTAAATACTTTGGATGCAAAGACAAAATGGAAACAGTCTCTGCTGTTAAAAAGTTTACATTCTGTAAAAAAGAGAGAAGGACCCACATATGCAAAAATATTTATAGCAGCCCTTTTCGTGGTAGCGAAATACTGGAAATTGACGGGATGCCCATTAATTGGGGAATGGCTGAACAAGCTATAGTAAACGAATATATTGGAATACTATTGTGTGATAAGACATGATGAACAGGCAGATTTCAGAAAAACCTGGAAAGACTTGTACAAACCGATGCAAAGTGAAATGAGCAGAATCAGAAAACATTGTACACAGTATCAGCAACACTGTGTGATAGTCGGGTGTGAATGACTTAGCTGTTCTCAGCAATACAATGATCCAGGACAAATACAAAGGACTCTCAAAGAAAAATGCCATCCACATCCAGATAAAGAACTGATGGACTCTGAATGCAGATCGAAATATATTTTCTTCACTAACTTTATTCTTTTTCATGTTTTTCTTCCTTTTGATCTGTTTCTTCTTTCATAATTGTGACTAACATGGAAATATGTTTTACATGATAGCACACATATAACCTATATCAAATTGCCTACCTTTCTGGGAAGAGGGGAAGGGAAGAAGGGAGGGAGAAAAATTTTGGAACTCAAAATCTTGTAAAAATGAATGCTAAAAACTGTCTTGGCATGTAATTGGGAAAAATACTATTTTTTAAAAAAAGCTTACATTCTATTAAGGGGAAAAAGTTCACATAGCAACCTTGGAATCAAAGGAGACCCTATATAGGAGGCCATCATTGAAAGAACTTGGTCATTCTCTAAAATAGAATTGACCAGTAAGTGAAGCCCAGGCACAGAGATGGAAGGAAAAGTGCTATAAAATATGAGGTATTATTATTATTATTACTCATTTCTTCTGATTTCCCCACATAACACTCTTAGGAAGACATGCAGAAGATGAAGCAGTCACTATTCAAATAAGGTAGAAGAGATTTCTGTTCCCAGACTAGGTGGAACAGGAAACCCCACAGTCCCTTCCAGCTCTAAGATTCTATAAGGAAGAAATAATGTATACATTTAGTACTATTTTCATTCTATTGTATTTCAAATAACATCCCCTTTTATGTCATCTTTCTCCTATTAGAATGTAAGCTCCTTGAGGAGAGGGACTCGATTTTTGCTTGTATTTGTATTCCCAATGACTAGCACAGTGCCTGGAACATAGTAAAGACTTAATAAATGTTTTGTCTATTTATCAGATGGTGCAGTGGATAGAGCACCGGACCTGCAGTCAGGAAAACCTGAGTTCAAATCCGGCCTCAGACACATACTAACTGTGTGACCCTAGGCAAGTCACTTAACTTCTGCTTGCCTCAGTTTCTTCATCTATAAAATGGGGATAATGATAGTTCCTTCCTCCTAGGGTTGTTGTGAGGATCAAATGAGATAATAATTGAGATAATAGTGCTTAGCACAGTACCTGGCACAAAGTAAGTGCTATATAAATATTAGCAATCAATCTATTGTTGAAGTTTTTTTTTGTTACCTTTCAATACAAGACCCAGAGAGAAGAGTAAAAAAAAAAAAAAAAAAAAAAGGAGCCGTCATATCTTAGTAAATGTGATGGGATGAGTGAGATGCAGAGAAGTTTCTCCAGTTTCCCCACATTCCCTTCCCTAACAAGTTGAAAGTTTTAACCCTTCCTCCCAGTCACAATTCAACAGTTAGGAACTGGACTACATCTCCCAGCAGGCCATGCTCTCACAGCTCACAAATTTAAATCCGATTCTGAGCTCAGATCCAGTCTGCTGGGAGGAGCAGAGAAAGCACACGGCCAGGAGCCTGAGAGAAGTGAGAGTTACAACAGCAGGAGCAGCAGGTTGGGAAGATGATAGGCATCTTGGTGCTGCTCCCTTCTTTCCTTTCCTTCCTGTTCATGGCAGTTCCCTACATCAGGTCTGTGTTCATTCATTGGCTCACTAAAAATCTTTCCTTACTCCTGAACCAGGGACCACTTCTGTTGAGAGAGGAAAAAGTGATGGAGGCGGACTGGGAGATGGGAGTGGGAGTAGGAACTACAGGCAGGCGGTAGTTACAGATACCACCCTGAAAGAGGAGAAAGGAGGTCAAGCCAATTTGCAAAGTGCATCATGCAAGTGGAGGATGGGTGATTTTGAATCCTTTAGGGACTGGTAGGAAGAGTGAAGGACCTTAGGAGATAACTTGCTGTTGGAATCTTAACTGTATTGATTACTTTTAATGCATGCATACCTCCCTGTCTACTAAGCATCCGTCGTCCAGATGGCACTGTTGAATGACATGGGTCATGATTGCTGAGGGATTAATTAATGAATGCTTAGGGGAATTCTGGGAAAGAAATGAATAAACTCTTGTTTTCTTTGAAACTCCCATATCTCAACTGACCTAGTTTCTCATTCAGTTTTGTGATTTCTCTGTTGTGGTTAGACTTTCGTAGATGTTAGGGACTGCTTGTTCTTAAGGGAAAATCTGGGGATTGTCAATAATCGAAAAGTCTAAAGAGAAGGACCATCCACATCCCATTTTGAAGCTAAAGCATCCCTTTAGGGCCTTGTTGTTCCTCTATGCATTGTACCTCAGATGGCTGACTTCCTAGACCCGTGGAGAAGTAGAGAGGTGGCCAGAGCTGAGTATTCCTATAGAGGATGGCCGAAGTCTGACCCACTGATTGTACTGCTCAGAATTTGTCCATTGGTCCTGGGCAAATTAGTTTATTTGACTAAGGCTTATTAAGCATATTATACTTGATGTGATGTGTATTATTTATAGGGTATTGATAAAGTAGGGAACCTACTTTTAAAGGACAAAACCATAAATATCTCAGGGATGTTACAGAGGGGATTCCTGCTCAATAGATCTGGCCAAGTGTCCTTTAAAATCACTTCTAACTCTTAAGTTCCTGTGATTCTACATCCTTTGCTACCTCATGGACTTGCCTCTTCTCCTGGCAAGGGAACTTTCTTCTGATTTAGCTAAAAAACTTTTTAGTACATTTTATTTTAAATATCAATCAGTATAAGCATAAGGAACAATAACAAAGGAAAAAATACAAACAAAACAAATCAAACAAAGCCCTCATCCTCTTTGCCCAGATGATTATCCCTTGTTCATAGGCATACATCACCTTCTAGCAGGGAATTCCAGGGGATTGCCTCGCTGAGCCAAAAGCAATCTGTTGATGTCAGGCGAGCAATTAAGGTTAAGGAGCATGTTTTCTGTGTCATGCTGATTGTATAGAGAAAGGATGGACGAAATCTATAGTGATTTCTTATGCAAGTCATATAGGACCTGGAAAAGAAAATGAGTTTTAATAATCTTTCTTTTTGTATCTATAGGAAGCATTTTGCTGGTGGAGTTTGTACATCAACTGCGCAGCTTCCTGAAAAGGTAGCTGTGGTCACTGGAGCCAATACGGGTATTGGAAAGGAGACAGCCAAAGATCTTGCTCGTAGAGGCAAGTCCATGCTCTCTCAGTTTTTGTCTTTTTTCCTGTTGCTGTCCCCCACTTTGTCACCCTTCACCTTTCTTTGCTGTTAGCTGCTCCTGTTTTGGAGGCCTGTGGCTAGGAGTTCAAGAACTCATTGAATAGGTTTCCTCATGTGAAAGATAGAGGGGTTGGACTAAGTCTGTGAGTCTCAACATTTTTTGTTCTGTAAGCCCCTTTCAACCAAAAAAAAATGTGTTGTGAAACTCCAGGGTGAGTTAATATGCTACTACTCATAACATTCTTTACAATTATCTACTGTTTTATGGTACCATTAAATAAGTTTTACTCAAATTTCATAGACTAAAGGTATCAAACATGGGATCCAGGGGTGGCTAGGTGGCACGGTGGATAGAGCACCGGTCCTGGAGTCAAGAGGACCTGAATTCAAATCCAGCCCCTAACACTTGACACTTCCTAGCTGTGTGACCTTGGGCAAGTCACTTAATCCTGATTGCCTCACCAAACAAACAAACAAAAAAGACAGATTATTAAAAAAAAAAACAAAAAAACATGGAACTTGAGTCACATTGTAGCCAGGATCATGAGTGAGGCTGTAATTGGGAAATATAATTAGGAAATATTTAATAAAATAAATAAAAATGCAAGAGAACATAGATAATGTTGATATGTAAGTTAATATCTAAGTCAATATGTGTTTTTCAGGGATCCTCACTTATAATTTAGTGGCCCTAGTTTCTGTTTAAGTTTGACACCTCTGCCTTAGACTATTGTTGAAAACCCTTGAAGATGGGGGACAACTTAATGGGAATCTCCAGTCTAGTTGATCTTCAAAGTCTTTTCCAGGAATAAAATTCTGTGATTCTGCTGTAATAATTGAGAACTGGGAGGTTTAAATTGAGCAGGACCACTGACTTGTTTTGTGGCCCTCTGTAAACCTGCTTTCCCTATTGCCCCTTCTCACAGTGTGACAGGAATAATTACTGGTATATCTGTATAATTTTACTATCTTTTACCAGAAAAGCTGCAAGCATACATTCGACACCTATGTATTTCTCCTCTCCTTCCCATTAATGCAGTGTACAAAGGAGTAAACACAGCCTGGAATCATGTTTGTGTTAACAGATCTGAGTGCACAGGTTCCTGAAAACCCTAAGAGGATAAAATTGTCACCATTATGTTGAAGAACTTAGCCCACTTATCCCCTATGAGAGTACTCAGCTCTGGATACCTCCTCATTAGCCATCTCCTAACTCATCCAGAAGCATTTATCCCCAGAGATGAAAATTAAGTGATTCTTTCCTCTTTCTTTTGCCCAGGAGCCAGAGTATATATTGCCTGCCGGGATATACTAAAGGGGGAATCGGCAGCCAGTGAGATCCGGGCTGCAACAAAGAACCAGCAGGTGTTTGTTCGGAAGCTGGACTTGTCTGACACCAAGTCAATCCGAGCCTTTGCCAAGGGATTCCTTGCAGGTGATGGGGGAGCAAGGTTGTTGTTTGTCCTTTGTTCTTGAGGAGGACCATGGTATCAGGAAGGTGATGCCATGACTTGCAAGTGAATCGGATTTAAGTGAGGGAGGGTTGTACAAAGTCACCAGCCTCACTCTCTCCTCCAGAGCCATCTGGGTCCAGTGGCCAGACATAGATTAGGACAATTGGTGATGACCTGGAATGTAATGAGAGTCCTTGGCCTTTTTAAGCTAAGGTCTTTCCCAGGTCTTGGTTTGTCTGAGGCAATGCCCATTCAGTGATTATGGCTAGGTAAGAAATGAGACAAAGAATGGCCTCTTTTACCTAGTTTAAAAAAAAAACAAACCAGAGTTTCTGGCCAAAATAGAAACAATTACTATTTATACTCACTCTAAGCCAATCAGGGCCCAAACAATGACCAAGTGAGGCTTGGGACCTATTGTTGGGTAATCAATGAGAGTGATTTGGGTTTAAGGCATGATGTTTAAGAAAAAAATGTAGTCCTTAAACCCCAAGCCATAAGCTAGAGAAGAAAGAATACAGGTTGTAGGAGTGACTCCTCCACCCAGAGTTCTTCCTTTTGCATCAGCACCATCTCAGTCCCCACCCAACTGGTTCTGCTATTAGAACCTGCAGGACTGGATAGGGAGGCAGGAAAAGGGCAGGCAGACAAACTGGGTGGGGCCCCTTATTTTCCTTTAGCCTCAGCGATGGGAATATGGGAAAATGCTAGGCTCTTTGCCTGGGCTTGAACTATAACATCAAGGTGTGGAACCAGTGTTGCAGAGTCCCTACATTGTCTTTTATCGTTTGCTGGTCAGTGAGCTAACAACATTTTGTGACCGTAGGTACACTAAGTGGGGCATATCAATGGGCACTGTACTTTGGGATCATGGGAGATGGAGAACCAGCTTTTAGCTGCTATTCAGAAAGGTTCATGAGCAAGGCTTAAGTGGGGGAGGACGATTCTAGATAAAGGGCCCTAGATGATGATGATGATGGTTGCTGAAGGGGAAGGTTATATACAATGTTTGTAACTCTGTCAATGAGCACACTTTCATGCTTCCTATTGTGTGTTGTCTCCTTCAATTAGATGGTAAGCTCCTTGGGGGCAGGGACTGTCTTTCTTTTTATTAATTTCATATCCAGCAGTTAGCACAGTGCCTGGCACATAGCAGATGCTTAATGTTTATTGGATTAGATTGGATTGGATTGAGTGGATCCTTTGTGGAACCAACATTGTGTAGTCATGAATAAAGGCACAGGGCAGGTGTCTTAATAGTTAGGATTGTGGCAGGCTGGTATTGGTCCCCCTTACTCATGGCTCATTCTGCTTTTGTTGTGTTTTGTCAGAAGAAAAGCAGCTCCACATACTAATTAACAATGCAGGAGTGATGATGTGTCCCTACTCCAAGACAGCAGATGGCTTTGAGACTCACTTTGGAGTTAACCACTTGGGTAAGTAGTGTGTCCATGGTGAATGCTTACCCCTTCATGCTCTTCCTGTTCTCAAGCTCACATCCAGAGAAATGAGGCCATTTATGTCACCTCCCTTTGGCCCAGTGTACCTAAAGCATGGGCCAGTTATGCCTGGGACCCCTAGCCCACACTCATACTTCCACGGTATTCTCTTCTCCTGTATGGATAATACTAAGGGCTCAGAACCATGACATCCAGCTGTATCATCTTGCAGAGCTCTTTTCCCCAAATGCTAGGATTGTGCTATGGGAAGGTATTAACCAGGGGTGGGGAACTTGCGGCCTCTAGGCCATATGTGGCCTTCTAGGTCCTTGGGTGCAGCCTTTTCACTGAGTCCAAGTTTTACAGAACAAATCCTTTTATTAAGGGGATTTGTTCCGTGAAGTTGGATTTAGTCAAAGGGCTGCACTTGAGGACTTAGAGGGCCACATGTGGCCTCGAGGCCGCAGGTTCCACACTCCTGGTATTAGCACTAATGTGCACTCAGTTTTACATATTGAACACACAAGCTGCGAGTGATTCTCACTCTTCCCATGCTCCTACAAATCAAAATTCATCCTTAGGACAAACCTGAACCCACTGGAGATTTACACCCAGACAAATCGCCTTTAGACTGCCCAGGGATCTACATGTGAATACTTTCACATATGCATGTACTTTCCACACATTCATGTCATTCTCTAAATTATTCTCTCTTTACCTCATCCTCACACTAGTATTCTACTCTCATTTTTGGTACTCATCCAATAAACTGCTCCATATTCAACATAAATACTCAGGAGTCAACTTCATAAGATGTCTGTTCCACCAATTAATTACCAGAGTTAGAAGGATATTGTGGCTATCCTTCATGGCCCCAGAGTAGCTCCTGTTATAAGCATCTATGAGCCCTCAGCCCGACTTGTGAACCCTTTAAGGCTCTCAGCATACCTCTCCTTGTTCTGCATATGGGGATGCCCTAAAACCAGCTCTATGAATTCTCAATAGCTTTGTGGCAAGGAAAGGGCTATAGGGCTATGGCAGATTGAATTAGGGTCACAATAAATCGGACAAACTGCTATCAAGCAAATTGATTAATGCCGGTTCATGGCTCTTTCCTGACCTTTTTCTAAGAAAGGATTTTTTCCCACATAAATCAGAATTTTCAGAAGATACTGGGGTGAATAGTGTCAGTCTAGTGTGGGTTGGCATTAGAGCAGAACATATTGAGCAAAGTCAGGCCTGGGAACTCAGGTATGGCTAAAAGGATCAGGCTAGAGGTAAAGCGGGCTGTAAGTCAAATCCAGAGAGACAGGCAAGGCTTGAGAATGTTGGGCAGCCTCACAGGTTGAAAAACCAGGCAGGAAGAGAGGCCAAGGCTGTTGTGCTTAGGCAGCATGGGAGCTCTTGGAAAGAGTGTTGGATTCAGAGGGAAAGCCCTTAGGTTGAAATCCCAGTCCTGCTATTTGTGTACTTTTTTTCATTCCAATTGTTTTTTTAAGGATTTGTTTTCTACAGTTACTTTTTGTCCTTTCTTTTCCAAGCTGTTGATTCTCTCTTGTATACCTCTCATTTCTTTTCCCAACTTTTCTTCTATTTCTCTTATTTGACTTTTAAAATCCTTCTTGAGCTCTTCCAAGAAGGCTTTTTGGGCTGGAAACCAGTTCATATTTCCCTTTTTCCTAAGGTGATATTTTCTGGGCTTTCAGAGGTCAATAAGGGAGGGTGAGAACGACTTACTTCTTACTCGCCATCCTGGCTCCCAGAAGTGGACTCCTAGTCCTGCTATTTAATGGGGCAGCTAGATTGCTCAGTGGATAGAGCACCAGACCTGAAGTCAGGAAGACTCATCTTACTGAGTTCAAATCTGGCCTCAGAAAATTACTAGCTGTGTGACCCTGGGCAAATCATGTATCCCTGTTTGCATCAGTTTCCTCATCTGTCAAATGACTTGGAGAAGGAAATACAAATCATTTCAGTATTTCTGCCAAGAAAACCCCAAATGGGGTCACAAAGAGTTGGACGTGACTGAACAACAACCTGCTATGGACTTAGGCAAGTCACCTAAACTCTGGGCCTGTTTCCTTGTCTGTAAAATGAGAGAATTGAACTGGATGGCCTCACAGATTACTTCCAACCCTCGGTCTAGAATTCTTTAGTCCTGCAAGGCCCATGTGCCTTCTGCCCTCTTTTATCCTTCTTGTCTACGGCTTGGGTCCACGTATATGTAATCATGGCCAGAAAGAGAGAGACAAAGGCTGTTGGTGTTCTCTGATTGGGCAGAAGATGGAATTATCAAGAGGTTATTATAGAAAGGGACAGGATAAGTGAAAAAATTGCCTGGCCTTACCCTTGTCCATTGGTTTGAGGAAAAGGGAAAAGACTGACTCCCTCATGGTAAAAATTCTCTTATGGACTCATTTTCTGATCTCATCCTTTAACAATGGAGCAGAGGTAGCACAACATTTGTATAGCATTTTAAAGTTTGCAGAAGGCCTTCTTCACAATAACCCTATGAAGTAGGTATTGAGAGTAGTATCATCCCCATTTTACAGATGAGGAAACTTGGGCTCAGTTCAAAGTGACTTGAACCAATTAATCAATCAACAAACATTTATTAAGTACTTACTGTTTGTCACCTATGGGTCAGTGTTAAGTGCTTGAGATACACAGATAAAAGTGAAACAGTTCCTGCCATCAAGAGCTTATATTCTATTGGAGGAAACAATATATACATGTATAATTATATACAAAATAGATATAAAGGCATTAGCAGCTGGGGGTGGGAGGGTGGACAGGGGTGGGAATCAATAAAATCTTCATGTAGAAGGTGACAGTTGAACTTGAAGGAGACTAGAGATTCTAAGAGGTGGTAGTGAGGAGGGGGTGCATGCCAGGCATAGGATACAGCCAGTGCAAAGGCATGGAGATGGAAAACAGAGTACTATATATGAGAAAGAGTAAGAAGGCCACTTTGATGGGACCTTAGGATGCATGCAAGGTAGTAATATATAATAAAGCTGGAAAGATCATACCAAAGGTCAATCATTAAATAAATAAACAAGCATTTATTAAGTGCCTAATAGATGCTAACTACTGTGCTAGGCACTGAATATATAAAGGCAAAAAATGATTCTTGTTATTATGGAGCATAGAGTAGAGAGAGACTTTACTCAGCGATATGCTGGTAAATAATTGTTTAACAGCCAGTTCTCTGGGAAAAAAAAAACAAAAACAAAATGTATGCACAGCTTAAATGTATCCATTTAACTTTAATTTGCATTATTAACATTTTATCTATCACTTTCTTAAATCTAGACAATCCACAAAATAATAAATCAAGCCCTGATTTGTGACATTTGCTGATTTCTGAGGTTTAAGTGCTGGCCCTGAAAATTTAACAACTGGTTCCAGCTGGCTCCAGCCCAACCCTGGGACTTGAGGCAGGGAGACTGTACAACTGATAAATGTCAAGTCAGGATTTGAATCTGGTTCTCTCCTGACTCAATGTCCAGCATTCTTTTTATTTTCCATATTAGATAGCTGCTTTTATCTTCCTTGCTGTCTCCATCATTCTAACCCTTCTGTTCTGCTCATAGGCCACTTCCTTCTGACTCACCTGCTCTTGGAGAGGCTGAAAGAGTCAGCACCATCCCGTGTGGTGAATGTATCTTCCGTGGCTCACCATTTTGGCAGTATTTACTTCCGTAACCTGGATGGGGAAAAGTACTACAATAGGGTCTTTGCTTACATCCAGAGTAAGCTGGCCAACGTGCTTTTTACCCGGGAATTGGCTTATCGGTTGAAAGGTGAGCCTGGAGCTGAGAGATGGGAATGGAGGGCACAAATTCAAGTTTAAGAAAAAAAAATGGTGGGAGTAAGGTTCAGAAAAAGTAGGAAAGATCCTCCACAATGGGAGGTCCTCATTCCAATGAAGTTAGAGGTTTTTATGCTACCCTTCTCTCCCAGAACAACCCTCCCCATGTTACCCTCACCTCACCCCCAATGCCCAAGAAAAAACAGACAAGAACATTTCCTTGAATATGTATTGACTGCTGGGCATAAGTAGGGTTACTACTACTACTACTACTACTACTACTACAATAACACTACTTTACTACTACTACTATTTCTATTACTACTCCTAGTAGTACTCCTACAATCACTGCTATTACTATTTCTTCTATTACTTCTATTACTACTACTAGTACTGCTACTACTATTTTTACTATACTGCTACTATCTACTACTACTACTACTACTACTACTACTACAACTACTACTACTACTACAACCTGACATTTATACAATGATAATGCTTCAAAGTTTGGAAAACACTTTACATACATTATTTCATTGGAACCTTAAAACAATTTTGTGATGTAGGTATTACAGGCATAATATTTCTATTTTATAGACGAAGACACTGAGACTCAGAGGTTAAGTGATTTTTCCCAAAGTTTCATAGCTAGTAAGTGTCAGGGGAACACTAAGTCTTCCTGACTCCAAGTACAAAAGCAGAAGACCTTGCTCTCAAAGCGTTTCAAATCTAATAGGAGTAAGGTAGGAGAGCCTTAGTCCTGGGAAAATGTACTGGAGACCTGCAGTCAAGTTCTGTCTTAACCGCTTACTAACTCTAGGAACTTCCACAAGCCAATTAAACTCTGTGGGTCTACTTTCCCTATCTGTAAAATGAAGGGTCTGGATATTATTTGGAGTTGCTTCCAACTCTAACATTCTAAGATTCTCTGAAATTTGAGAAAATTCTGGCTCTGACTTTTGCAGGTCTTGGGGAAGGGAGCAAGCATTTAACTTCCTACTATGTATCAGGCACTATGCTAAGGGCTTTTCAAATATTATCTCATTTGATCTTTACAACAATCCTGGAAAGTAGGTGCTATAATTATCCCCATTGTGGAAACTGAGGCAAACAGGGTTAACTGACTTACCCAGGGTCACATAGCTAGTAAGTGTCTGAAGCTGAATTTAAACTCAGGTCTACCTGACTCCAGGCCTAGCGCTCTATCCGCTGCACCACCTAGGTTCTAATTAATTATAAGACAGAGTCTGTGATTCTATCTGGTGAAAGGGAGAGATTATTTATCAATCTATACTCTGGCGGGAGTTAGCTTCTATCAAACCCTGCATCAATGCGTTCATGTGCATCAAGTCTCTTTTTCATCATTGTACCACTGCAGTGGTAGTGCTATAGGCTCTTATTCCATGAATCCTCTTCCAGTATAACCCCGTCCTTTGTATCACAGGGACTGGTGTCACCACATATGCCGTCCACCCAGGCATTGTCCAATCTGAACTGGTGCGTCATTCATTCGTCTTGTGTCTGTTGTGGCGTCTTTTTACCCCTTTCTTGAAGTCAGCCCAACAAGGAGCTCAGACGAGCCTCCATTGTGCTTTGGCTGAGGGTATCGAGTCTCAGAGTGGCAGGTATTTCAGGTGGGTGTTAGCCTTACTGTCTGTTTGTATGGAGGAAATAAAGGTTGTAAACTCTGGGGAAGAAGTGACAGCTCTTTGGCACAATGGAAAGAAAGTGGAAAGACTGGATGTCAGAGGAACTGGGCTCAAATCCCAGTTCAGTCATCTACTACTTATGTGACCAAAGACAAGTCATTTGTCCTTTCTGGACCTCAGTTTCCTCATCTGCAAAATGAAGGGGAATTAGTGTGGGGTCCAAAATTGTTCAATCTACAATAAAAGAAACTGAGGCAGAGCTCCAGCTATTTTTGAATTGTACCTCCACCTTTGTCATCAATCAACTAGGTCACCCCTTGGTCAAGTAGTCATAGGACCTGTTGGCCTAGTTGGAGCTGCCTGTGAATTTGTTCCCCCATCTATCACCCAACATGAGGTCAATGAAAGACCGTCAGCTTTGCCTATATTTGGATATCCTCTACCAGCCAAGCTATCACACACATGAGCTGAAGATTCTCCTGGAAGGTCAAGATATAGTCAATGAGACCTTGTGTTTTACTTTGTGTCCTCTGTATCACCTGGGAATCAAACACTATAAAATTAAGGCTTTTAGGAAAGGGAGCAAATTGATGACAAAGGTGGAGGTACAATTCAAAAGTAGCTGGAGGACTTTCCATGCCATTGAGTCACCCCCTGCCACACTGGGCTTGGTCATTTACTCATCAGGCATTGGTTAAGCAACTGGATTCACTAGATTCACTAGACTGACTAACTGTATAGCAGTAGACAAGTACAACAGTAATAGCCATTGCCCCTATGGAATCAAACTCAACTGAATTATTAATACTAATTGGAAATAAAGTAGGGGTCTAAATTAATCATCTCCCACATTAGGTAACCTTGGAGGTTCCTTCTAGTAGTAAATCTGTGAAAAGGAGGGGAGATGTTGAGCTGGTGGCTAGGATACAGGTTGGGGTTGGGATGAGCATTATGCTGTCAGTCTCTAAAAAAATTGGAAGTGTGAATAGTTCACAGAATGAAGTTCTTTTATGGGTATTCACTTTTGCTCCTCAGCCTTGCGGCTTGCTAATAGGTACCAGGAAATGGAATATTTTTTAGATGTGCTATAGCTATGTTTTGCTTGTTCCTGATCTTTTGCTCCTTGATTCTTGTCACAAATGGTAAGCAAGGAGTAAGATCAAGACAGTGCGTCCACCAGAGACATAGAAAATAGAAATATTACTGGACATTTGTTTGGGTTGGGTACCATAAGCTGTACCTCCACACTTCTCTCTCATCCTCTCTCAACCAGTGATTGCAAGAAAGCATGGGTGTCACCAAAGGGTCGAAACAACAAAACAGCCAAGCGCCTGTGGGATGTCAGCTGTGAGCTCCTGGGCATCTAGCGGGAATGCATGGTGGCAGAAGAGAAGGTGACTTCATATCCCTAGCCGGGACTAATTGAGCCCAAACAGCCAGGAGCAATTCCCTAAGAAGAAGGCACATTGACATGGGAAGGATCAGTCGCTGCTTGTGGACACACTCCTCCTCTATTCCACCTCCATCACCTGGCCGAGAACCTTTGTCCTCTCTGTCCTCTTGCTAGCTTGGCTCATTTGGATAGACATTTGCATTTACATAATCTTCTCACCAAAGGGTGTGGTGAGTAGCGCGGTGGATTATTTGGTTAGGCCTAAAAGACAGGCCCCTGCTTACCAATGGCAGCCATTGAAGGGGTACCAGGGGAGCTAACATTGGTTTCCCCACTCATCATACCTGGTTCCAGCTAGTTAGTCTTCCATTTTAGAAACACTCTTTACTTGGCCTTAGATGAATTGAAAAGGGCCTAGAGTTATACCTCTCAAACTGGCAGGAGACTATGGCCAAGCCTTCTTCTCGTTGGAAAACCAATCCTTGTCAATGATCTCAGGGCACCCTCCTCCCTAAATCTGGATTCCCCTTTGAATACTTCCTCTGAGCCACTTTGTGTTGCTGCTGTAAAGACATTTTCCCATCTCTAGGCATGGGGAGAGTTTCCTTTTATAAGTGTTTTGGTTGTTTGTTTTTTTTCTCCTCAATTTTTGGAGAAAATAAAGACCAAATAAGTTCTATATCTCTGCTTTTCTGTTGCTGTTTCTCAGAATAATAAGGTCATGGAAGAGAAGCTTTCTAGGGGGTTTAGGCCTTCTGGCTTCTATTAGTGGCCTCACATCCAACCTACCCTCTTTCTTTTTATTTCACCATTAGATCTGTGATTTCATCCATCTAGAGAGTTTATGAGGAAACTAACTCCCTCCATCAGTGCAGACCCAACATTTGTTCTGCTATCTGCAGTCTTGGGAGTTGACTGGGAGCACTGAGAAGTGACTTGCCTGGGCTCAGACAGCATGTTTTGGAGTCAGGATTTAAACCCCTCCACCCACTCTTAACACTACTCCCAGGAGACCTAGCTCGTGTACAGATCCACACTGGTGCCCTTTGTGCACGGGAACATTAAGAAAGAAGTCTTCTTATCTGTAAATGGATCGCTAAGGTCCTGTCATATCCCAATAACTGATGATTTAGAGTATGTTGGTGGTGGCCTAAATCACACAGCTGTTGCGCTCTCCCACAGATTAAGACGAGAGACTTCCAGTAGATAGCACAGATCTTAGTAGAACAGCTGTAGGACAGTTAGACCCAGATACTTCCCTGATCTAGGTTATCTAAACTTTCATCATGGCTCAGGCTCAAGCTTGATCTCAAAAGGGAGAAAGGACATGCTACAGCCCCATAAAGGGGTGGCCAACTGGATCATTTCAGGCAGATCAGATCTGAGAACTTAGAGACCACAAATTTCCAAATTGGTGCCCTTCTAGACCTTTATAATAGCTAAATGGCACTAGTGTCTAACCTCTTAGCCAAGTACTAGAAGGAAGCCACATTGTCCTGACTCCAGCCTGGATATAATTCTGTAGATACCTTGTGACATCAAGTCCCCTTTCATCAAAGTGATTTGATTCCTCTACTAAAATGTCATTGTGAGGTCTTCAGGATTTTTGGTGCTAAAAGAGAAGACTGAGCATTTCCAATAACAGGATGGGGGTTGACTATATCAGGATGTGATGGTTTTGCTCAGATATGACTTGCTCAGATTAAAGGACCTTTGAGCTGGGCTAGGTGTGCTGGGGACAGGGCCGGGTAGGAATAAGAGAGACCAGGAAAAAGGGAAGGGGGAAAAATAGCAGTATTGGGTTGGAGGCAGAGCTGGTAAGAAGAGCTGATAAACAAAGCACAGGCAGACCTGGACAGAAGATATCTAGAATCTTAATCGGGAGTGCTGGGATTAGGGAAGAGCCTGGGAGCAAAGTCTAAGGGCAGAGAGAAAATAGAGAACACATGAAGAAAAGAATATCCCTAGGAGCAGTTCCAGAGAGGTATTGTTATTTGTTGACCTCCAAGTTCCCTTTATTCTCTGAAGTTATGTGACTCTATGTCATGAGGTAGGTAGGTGGTTTTTCAGAGAAAGAAATTTACCCAAAAGTCAATATTATGTATATCTGGAATCCAAACAGAAAAGGACTTTGGATCAAAATGCAACTAACTACTGGTAAATGCTTGTAATGCCTGAAGAACCACAGGTAGGTTATTTAATGGAGAAATTTCCCCCTTGGATAGGTTCTACCCTTCACACAGAAGGATTAATCCTAAATCTACCAGAGATAAGATAGGATGCTCAATTCTGTCATCATACAGCTCCACCTTCTAGAAAAACAAAGTTGTCAATATTCACAATTTCCATATTATACTGAACCCCACACTGCCCATCCTTTCCCTAGTTTTCTTCTGGAAAAGACCCAACTTGAATCATAAGCTATCATTGCCACAGACTTGTGGGAAGGCTTGAGGCACAACCTATTTAGTCAGTGTTGCTTGGGCGGGGGAGCAGAGGTCATCTTCCCACAGGACAGAGTGCCAGCCTTCAGCTCAAGGTAGTATTTCCGGAAGAGACTTGCTCAAAGTACTCAGCAAATCTTGATGCCCTGAGTCATGGCCCAGTCTGTTGATCTTTCTTCTCCAGATACTAGTAGAACAGCTGTAGGACAGTCAAACACAGATACTTCCCTGATCTAGATTATCTAAACTTTCATCATGGCTCAAGCTCAAGCTTGATCAGATCCTTACCTCCCAGCTTCTTTAGACAAGAGGTAGGAAGAAAGGAGATGCTACAGCCCCATAAAGGGGTGACCAACTGAATCATGCCAGGCAGATCAGATCTGAGAACCTAGACACCACAAATTTCCAAATTGGTGCCCTGCTAGACCTTTAGAATAGCCAAATGGCACTAGTGTCTAACCTCTTAGCCAAGTACTAGAAGGAAGCCACATTATCTTGACTCCAGCCTGGACACAATTCCATGGATACCTTGGACATCAAGACCCCTTCCATGAAAATGAATTCAGATACTGTTTCTTAGTCTATCTCCAAGTGCCATAGGCAGGTCTCCAAACACCACCAACAGCTATTAGGAGCTGAGAGAAAAATACCCAGATGGCAAGGAAACAACAATCATAGCTCTTCCTTGGTTCTCCTACCCCTCATCTTTTCCTTCTCTATCTGTTCCATACAACCATGTCTGCCCTCATGGGAGATGCTGTTGTCTCTAACTATTCAGAACTGAGGATAAAATATCCTTTTCCCTTAAGTTCCACAAAGACAAGGTGGGAATTTTCCCAAAGAAACTTTCCTTAGAAAACTGAAGGAAAAACAAAACTGAAGGGGGAAAAATGCAGAATCACAAAAGGGAAGGTAAGGGGGAGGGAGAAAAGCATTTATTAAATGCCTACCATATGTCAGGCACTGTGCTAAGCGCTTTACAAATATTATCTCATTTGATCCTCACAACAGTCCTGGGAGGTAGGTGCTATTATGATCCTACCTATAAAAAAAACCCCAGTTTTTCACATTTGAGGAAACGGAGGCAGGCAGACATTAAGTGACTTGCCCAGAGTCACACAGTAAGTAACAGAGGCAAAATTTGAATTCAGGTCTTCCTGACTCTAGGAACAATGCTCTATCCACTGTGCCATCTAGCAAATTAATATACAAAGGACATATTCCTTAACTAGGTCAATATTTTAATAAATGCTTATTAAGTACAAGGCACTGTGTGTGAGTTATTGTCTAGCCATAGATTGTCTTGGTGGGCACATAGCTTAGTGGGCACACACTGTTTCTTAGTCCTATCTTGGAGGGGGATGTCTCTATGGCACCAGGTGCTTGGAATTATCTACCCTTTGACGAAGTTCAGACTGCATAATCTATTAGCAGGGATATGGCATCAATCCATCAGTAAGCATTTATTAAGTGCCAACTGTGGGCCAGACTCTGTGATAAGCATCAGAGTTACAAAGACATAAGTACAATAATAGTACCTGATCTCAAATTGCTTACTTTCTATGAGGGGAGACAACATGTACATAAATTATACATAAACATATACGTATATAATTATAAATAAGCACATATAAAATACGTACAAGATTTTAAAAAAAGTAATATGGGGGTTAAGGAACTACAGCAGAGTGTGAGAATTACACACAAAAATATAATGCAAAATAGAGTGTGCTAGAAGCAAAGGGGAGATTCACACAAAGTGCTTTAAGAACATTGGGGGGTCAGCTAGGTGGTACAGTGGATAGAGCACCAGCCCTGGATTTAGGAGGACCTGAGTTCAAATGTGGCATCTGACACATAACACTTACTAGCTGTGTGACCCTGGGCAAGTCACTTAACCCCACTGCCTAGCAAAAAAAAGAAGAAGAAGAAGAAGAAGAAGAAGAAGATTTGAGGGAGGAGAGAAGACTTTCAGTTGGTGGGACATTGTGTTGGAATCACAATAGTGCTTCATGGAGACACTAATATATAGCCAAACATGCCAATCTTAGTAGAATCTTGAAAGAAAAAGGAAGGCTTTCGAAGCGTGGAGATGAGGAATGAATGCATTCCAGGCATGTGGAGGAGACTATATAAATGCATAGGGTCAGCAAGAAAGCATCAGTAGCTTAGCAGTCCTGTTTGACTGGATGTAAAGGAAAATAATAGGGACCCTGAGATGACACAGTACATAGAGTGTTGGATCTGGGAGGTCAGGAAGACTTGAGTTCAAATCCTGCCTGAGAAACTGTGTGACCTTGGGCAAATCAATTAATGCTCCCAGCCTCAGTTTTCTTATCTATAAAATGGGAATAATAACATCTACTTCACAAGGTTGCTGTGAGGAAAAACTGACACATTTGTAATGCATTTTGCAAACCTTAAGGTTCTATATAAATGCTAGCTATTATAAGTCCAGGAAGGTAGGACATAGTGAGATTGTAGACAGGCTTAATTGTCAGAGGTTTGTATTTTATCCTTGAGGCAATAAGAGGCCACTGAATGTTTTTCAGTGAGAGAGAGGCCCCTACATTAGTGCAGAAGACAGCAACAACAACAACAACAACAATAAGCTAGCATTCATATTGGGGGCAGCTAGGTAGCACAGTGGATAGAGCCCCAGGCTTGGAGTCAAGAAGACTAATCTTTCTGAGTTCAAATCTGGCCTCAGACACTTACTAGCTGGGTGACCCTGGGCAAGTCACTTAACCCTCTTTGCCTCAGTTTCCTCATCTGTAAAATAAACTGGAGGAGGAAATGGCAAACCACTCCAGTATCTTTGTCAAGAAAACCACAAATGGGGTCTCAAAGACTTGGACACCACTGAAAAATGAAATAACAACAAAAGCATTAATATAGTACCTACTATGTGGCATTCATTATGTTCAATGCTCTATAAATATTACTTCATCGATTCTCACAACAATCTTGGGAGGTAGTTACTATTATTATCCCCATTTTACAGTTGAGGAAACTGAGGCAAATAAAGGTTTGTTTTTTTTTTAAGGGACTTGCCCAAAGACACATAGCTAATAAGTATCAGAGGCTGAATTTGAATTCAAATCTTACTGACTCAAGGCCCCATACTCTAATCCACTTCATCACCCAACTATGGCAGCTGTATGAAGGATGTGTAACCTGTGACTGTGATTTCAGATTCACACAGACCCCACACACAGGATCCAATCCTGGAGGCTG